TATGTATAATGTCTTGTTGCATAAACTCGAAGATCTACAGGCGAAAACCGACAAGTTGGCAGAAGAGGCGAGGTGAGGTGAGGCAGCGAAGATGGGACTTCTTTCAGGTGGATGTAGAGAAGACAGAGGTGATGAAGATACCCAGCTAACAACAACAACAACAATAACAACAAGCACCAATCACCATCAAGGAGAGAAATCTAAACGAAGTTGTCTCTTTCACCTACACCTACCTGATCAGGCAGCATCGTTTCAACTACAGGCGGCGGCGGTGGTGGTACAGATGAGGATGTCAAAGCAGCCAGGATCAGAAAGACAACAAGTCAGGCCTTCATTAATATGAAATCAGTGTGGAGATCTACTCCATTGCATTGCACTCAACATAAAGCGTGAACGATATCCTGATTTTCAACACTAATATCAGTCAAGTCAGCACTTGTTTGTGTGGTTGAGAGACTTGGCGCGTCACGAAAGGCATTTCCAACAAACTGCAGACATGCATCAACAGCTGCCGCATATGCTCACTCGATACTGAAGATAGAGACCAGATGGCGAGAATAATAAGAATAAGCAACAAGGAACTGTGGCTGGCTGGCTGGCTGGGAACGAACCAACCAACAACCTGTCGGCCAACAAATATGCAGTGGAAGAAAGTGGAGATGGATTGGATTGGACATAGAGTGAGAAGGTGGTTGGAGACGTCACGAGATAGGCCATGCTTTCGAGTGGAATTTGAAGGGGGAACGATGAGTTGGTCGTCCGAGGGTGACATAGAGGAGATGGTGTGAGGAAGAAATGAGAGGTAGTGGGCAGTCGTGGAGCCAGGTTCAAAAGATTGCAGAGGAGAGATTGAAATGGAGACGTGCTACTGAAGCCGTATGTCCCACTAGGAACCCAAGAGACAAATAATAATAATCATAAATCAGACTTAGGGGTCGAATTCTTAGACGATATTCGCAAAAACTAGGGAATGGATTTTGCATATTATGTATTTAAGACTAACTGTAGATCCTGTAGTAAATGTGAATAAGCATTCTCTGCACTTCTAAGATGTCTTAAAAATGGCTACTTAAGTCCCTTGACGTTTTGAAACACGTTTATCTCCTTTAAAGAATGAAGAAGACGATCGTCATAGAGTTGAATAGCCAGTTCAGAAGGTGGTTATGATTGATAATTCAGAAATAAGGATATTATGTATACTATAAATTTCATCAGGATCTAATGTATCCAAATTATTGGCCGTTACACTTTGCAAACTAGACAAAACATGCATAAAATTACATATTCCCAAAGGTTGAGAGAGTTTCGTATTTAAAAAGTGGAAACATTCATCAAATGTTCAATCTTAGCTCAGCAATCGAAAGGAATCATATGTGTTTTAGGTCAACGATCATTAAAAATATCTTGACTTTAGAGATGCCTATGATTTGTTAGAAAAACATCGACTATGTAGAATTTTCTGTTAGGAGTATTTGCTAAGAAGTCTATTAACATCAAAAAAGTTCTCAACAAAATATCTGAGCAATCTCATATAGGTTTGTATACGCGACTGGACTATGACTAGTGCCAAACTGCTTATTCCTTGATCGAATGACTGGTAAGTCGAAAGTCTGGACCAACGGTTTGAAGAGCTCTGTATATATTTGTCAGCATATTTCTAACTCGATTATAAATGCAAACTGTAAATTGCTTGGATGAATACTGCGATAATTTTCTGCCAAGTTATATATATATATATATATATATATATATATATATATATATATATATATATATATATATATATATATATATATATATATATATATATATATATATATAGCAATGAATACTAGTTGGATTTGACGCAGAAAAAAAGATCATCAACAATTACCCTCCAAAATTAAATGATAAGTTCCTTAGAAATTGTAAGAAAAATATTAATAACAAAGGTGTCAATAGCTGTAATCATTATGTTAAGAATAATAGTGGTAATACTTTATAGAGAGAACCCGAAACCTTTGCAATATTACCATACAAAGAAGACACCACACAGACATTGAGTAGGATTCTCAATAAAGCTGGATAGGATTAGAGTGGCATTTAAACCTACAGACTCGTTTAGAAATAAGCTCTGTAGGTTTAAACATAGTACTGATCCAATTAGGCGGAATAATTTGATCTACTAAATCCCTCGCTAAATCCCTTGTTACCTCAACTTTATCGACTTTGAGAAGGCTTTTGACAGTAGCGACCGAGAGGTAATTTGGAAACTGCTTCGTTACTACGGAGTACCGCAAACCTTTATCCGCCTCATTCAACAACTATATGAAGACACCACATGCCAAGTAATTCACAATGGGAGGCTCAGTGATGCTTTTGAAGTGAAGACAGAAGTGAAACAAGGCTGCCTACTATCACCCATGATATTCCTGATTGTGGTCGACTGGACTGGATCATGCAGCAAACAGTGGGGAGCTATGAGAAGAGGGGGATACGCTGGCTGGACAGGGGGAAAGAACCTAGAAGATCTGGATTTCGCCGACGATGACTTGTGCCTGATGTGACATAAACTTGAAGATCTACAGGCGAAAACTAACAAGTTGACAGAAGAGGCAGCGAAGACAGGACTTCAAGTGAAGATAGAGAAGACAGAGGTGATGAAGATACCCAACCAACAACAACAAGCTCCAATCACCATGAATGGGAGAAACTTAAAGAAAGTAACCTCCTTCACCTATCTAGGCAGCACTGTTTCAACTACAGGTGGCGGCACAGACGAGGATGTCAAAGCCAGCCAGGATCGGAAAAGCGAGACAGGCGTTCATTAGCCTGAAACCAGTGTGGAGATCTTCTGCACTCAGCATGCGGAACAAGATAAGGATTTTCAACACCAACGTCAAGTCAGTGCTCCTGTATGGTTTAGAGACTTGGCGCGTCACGAAAGGCATTTCCAATAAACTACAGACATTCATCAACAACTGCTTACGCTGGCTCGCTACTGAAGATCATATGGCCAGAAAGAATAAGCAACAAGGAGCTCTGGGAACGAACCAACCAAGAACCTATCGCTCAACAAATATGCAGGAAGAAGTGGAGATGGATTGGGCATGCACTGAGAAGGCCGACTGGGGACATCACGCGTCAGGCCAGTTGCTCGAGTGGAATCCCCATGGGAAGCGACGAGTTGGACGTCCGAGGGTGACATGGAGGAGATCGTGCGAGGAGGAAATGAGAGCTTGTGGGCTGTCGTGGAACCAGGTTCAAAAGATCTCAGAGAACAGAGGTCACTGAAGACGTGCTACTGAAGCCCTATGTTCCATTAGGAACCCAAGGGACTAATAATAATAATAAATCCCTTGCAACGATTGCGAGGTCAAATACATAGGTGATAGTAGTAGACCAGGGTCAGTTAGGCTATCCGAGCACAAAAACCTAGCTAGGTCAAAATTGGTACATCCCACTAAGATAAGAAATCTAGAAAAAAGCTGTCATAGCTAAGCATGCAATTCTACACAACCACATACAGTAAGATGGGACAGAGTGAATATCGTTAAAACTAACCCCGCTGGATGGAAGGAGAGATTGATGACTGAATCTTTAGAGATAGTATTCATCATGGACTAACATAAGTTGGAACATCACTGAGAATCTGGGAGGACTGGACAGCTGTTTTGTCAGCAGTACGCACCTACCATCCAGCTAGGGATCGAACTACGGACCTTGAGGTTTCATGGCAAACGCGTCAGCCATTCAGCCACTGGGTCGGTTTTCAGTGGTTCATAGTTTCCAACTTCTGTCAGCACTTGTTTCGGTTATATGGAAAATCCTATTGCCTATATCATAAAGGATGCAATAGAATTGTAGCTCATTGGTTCAGATAGATGGTTTTCAACCAGCACGCCATAGGTTCCAGCCCTGATCAACCTACCGCGGTTTGGCCAGCCAGGTAATATCACTCGCCCTCACACAACAGATGTGGTTCATCGCCTACTGCACTGATTCGACTCAATTCGACAAGGCAATAGAATTAGAGCTATATAAATCATATCTCAAAGTTATGTAGTTATCTTGATGTGACAATGGACATTATATTGTGTCTGAAACATAATCCAGCAAATAACACTGTTCCATTGCATGATACATCTTAGAAAATCAACTGAAGTGGGATCATTGGAATGAAGTGTCTACATAACAATTAACACGATAAGAAGTGACATTTTATGACATAAACTGTGACTTCAAAAGTTGGTTGTTTGAGTCGAATCGATGGCTTCATACGCCACCATAGTTAATGAAGTGAAAACACGAGTGACTATATAGGCCACCCTCACAACTACTGAGACAACCAATCAGGTTTCCGTATTCCAGCCAGAAAAGTACTTTTTTCACAAAATAGAGAGATATGATTGGCTATCTTAACAGTTGTTATGGTGGCCTTCAAAGTCACTCAACAATAAATACCTCTCCCTACCCGGTTTATTGAAAATCGTTAGAATAAAAAAATAATCAGTAATTGTGTTCAATGCTCTTTGAATCTTATTGGACATTTAAATAATGCCAATCAATGATGAAGAACCAGTTCCCGATCAATAAAATCCTTCTAGCAATCAAGTCAACCAGTGGTATTGATAAAACATGTATTCATTCATTAACAATAATCATCATTAATGGTAACTTCTTTCTTTTTTTTTCTTATATACATAAGTCGAATCTATTATTAGTAAGTAGGCGAGTGATTTTAAAGGCTATTGTTGAGATAACCAATTGTTTTTTCTTTATGAAAAGTTACCTTTCCAGTCGGAATTCTGAAATCTGATTGGTTTAATCTCATAGGTTGCTAGAGTAACCATCAAGGTCATTCAAGTAAGTAAATCAAAGCGGAATAACAACTTTTACTGTCCTGTATACATGCGTATAGGATGAATGAATTAAAAACATGAGAAAGAACACATTCATCTCTTTGATAAATGAATCAGTAAATAAAAAAGATACAAACGAACAAGGCAGGGAAAACTTACTTCATTCTTTAAACAATTACATTGTTCAATTAATTGTTCTTTTTCAATCAATAAGGCTTTGTATTGTTCAGCTGCTTTACATAACTACAATAAATGAGACAAGATAAGAAACAATAGACAACAGCTGTAGTATTCAGTATAATACATAGATAAATAATAAAGTACATTACAGCCAACTGTTCGTATAAATGCTGATCAGATTTTATCGAACACCAAGCTAGGAGATTCATCATCACAGTGGACTCTGATTGATGTTTACCGATTGGAGACAATCGGTGCAATGCATTCTACTTGGCACATGTTTCATAATCCTTATCATTCGTTAGTGATATATGGATCTGCAATCTAGCTAGCAAGAGTGGGTTTAGCCTTCAAGGATAATGTCCGTTATTTTGAAGCCAATAAATTTTATTGTACAAAAATATAATTTAAGTTTTAAGAAAATACACATGTGAACACACGTAGACTCGATAATGATAAATAGATCTAGAAATTACGGGATAAAACCAATACCACTTGAAATGTAAAGAGAAACGGGCAAACTGATCGATGATGCAGAATCTAAAAGTTATTATACAAATGTTTAGTGTCAATAAGAGCATTCATGGTTCATAGCAATGTACTTGGTAAACTTTAGGATGGTCGGTTAGACAGGAGATAGACAGAAAAAAAATCAAAGCAGAACATCGCACACAAGTGCATCACCTCAAGTTGCCACACTTCACAAACAACAAGAGGATATAATAAGAGTAATATCAAAGTATACAAAGTTGTCGGAGAGAATAAATAATTTGAAGATAACGGTTAACTTCAGAAGACGTTAAAGAGTGAATGCCACCTTGCCATTGTGACTAATTTTCGGCCATTCACCAAGAGTCCTTAATCACTGATTCTTTTCGTCTCAGGGACCCCAACAAGGTAGTCTACACCTTCCCATACGGCTCAGACCAACAATGAAGGACTACATCAACTGGTGCCAAGTCTTGGTCTAGCCACCTTGAATCCTCTTCTAACCTAATCCAACTTCCCCCACCATCACAAGTCGAGGTAGGCATAGGTAGCACATGTCCAATCCAACTCAGTCGATGAAGATTTACAACCTCATTAATCGACTTGCCTATCTTGCTCAGTACTTTTCTCTTGACCTCAACATTGTTCACATGGTGATTGCACCAAACCCGAGCAACGTTATGGAGACATCTATGATCAAAACTCTGTAAACGCTTCATGTCTTCTACCTTTGACGGCCATGTCTCATAAGCTGTACGACAGGACAGAACAGACAACAGCGCAGTATACTGGTCCTTTGATAGACAGTCGGATATCTTATCAGTCGACCCCACAGATGATTTAAGTTGGTAAATGTCAAATAGGTCTCATGATAATTTCTCAAACAAAAGCCTAACCAAAAGAACTGATGAAAGGGTTAACGAATGTAAAAGTTGAGAGGACAATATCATTAGTGACTCCAGATCAGAAAAGAGAACACATATATTGAGAAACTTTATGGCAGGTTTAATGAAATAATAAGGTTAAAGTGAAATTTTTATCATTCAGATAAAAGATGAACTACTCTACATGCAACTACATCAGTGCGTATTTACAAATTTGCCTTTTACACCTTCTCCACCTATTACTTCTACAATCAATCCTACAGACAATATACGATGCAGTAGATGAGAAGTTGTATCAGTTCCGTTCAATCGTATTCACTGTAAAATCAATACAAAATCGCTCCTTTTGAAATCCTCAAAATATCCTACAGTTTATTAGTGATGGAGAAAGAATAGCAGTGGAATCCGGGACGCACGTTTTGTCCGATTTGCGACTAATCAACTGAATGTACCTGCCTCCCAGTGAGTGATGTTTTCCCCAGTGGGATTCGAACTCGAGATCGACCGCTTCAAATGCCAGAGCGTTATATACTAGACCACAGAGTCACAACAGCCCCTTCTTGTGTGACGGGTACAGTTTTAGTGTTTTTGCTTGTATTATCCCATCGTTGATTGGACCGAATTAATCGGTCTCTATATTGGCATATGGGCTCCTGCGCGGATGCCACGATAATACCACCCACTCACTGGAAGGCAGGCACATCCAGCTAACGAGTCTCAAATAGGAAGAAACGCGCGTCCTGGACTCCACTGCTAACCAATAGCCATCATTAAAATTTAATTAAAACACAGATAATATAGAGGCATCAACGCAGGAGCCCATATACCAATATAGAGACTGATCAAATCGATCCAATCATTGTTAATAAAAATTTTTCCCTTGGGTTACTAGTAGGAAATAGGGCTTCAGTAGCACGCCTCCATTGCACTCTGTCCTCTGCAGTAATCGAATCTGGCTCCACGACTGCCACAAGCTTTTCTTCTTCACATGATCTCCTCCATGTCACCCTCACCTCGGATGCCCAACTTGTCGTGTCCCGTTTTCGGTCCCACTCGAGGTACTGGATTGGCATGTGATGTCCCCCAAATCGACCTTCTCAGTGTATGCTCAAACCATCTTCACTTTCTTCTACATATTTGTTGAGTAATGGATTCTTGGTGGGTTAGTTACCAGACAGAGTGAGTTCCTTGTTGATTATTCTTATTATTCTCGCCATCTGATCTCCAGCATCTCCAGCAGTGAGTGTAGACGCCAGCTGTTGATGAATGTGTGTAGTTTGTTGGAAATGTTTTTCGTGACGCGCCGACAAGTCTCTCAACCATCACATAGAAGCACTGACTTGACTGACATTGGTGTTGAAAATCCATATGTTGTTCACGCTTTGTGCTGAGTGCAGTGCAGTGCAGTAGATCTCCACACTGATTTCAGATTGTTGAAAGCCTGTCTTGCTTGCTGTTCCGATCCTGGTTTTGACGTCCTCGTTTGTGCCGCCAACTGTAGTTGAAACGATGCTGCCTGGTCAAGTAGGTGTATGTGAAAGAGACTATTTCCTTTATGTTTCTTCCGTTAATGGTGATTGGTGCCTCTTGTTGTTGATGCTGTTTTTGGTTAGGTATCTTCATCACCTCCGTCTTCTTTGCATTCACTTGAAGTTCCGTTTTCGCTGTCCTGCCTCACCTCTTCTGTCAACTTGTTAGTTTTCAACTGTAGATCTTCGAGTTTGTGTGACATTAGACGGAAATCACCAGTGAAATCCAAATCTTCTTCTGGGGTCTTTTCATCGTTCCAGCCAGTGTATGCCCATCTTCTTGCTCCTCACAGTTTGCTGCATGATCCAGTCCAGTCGATCGCACTCAGGAAGATGGTCAGTGATAGTAGACAGCCTTGTCTTGTTTTACTCCTGTCTTCACTTCAAAAGTATCACTGAGCTTTCCATTGTGGATCATTTGGCATGTGGTGTCGTTATATAGTTGTTGAATGAGGTTGATAAAGACTAGTGGCGTTCGATAGTGTTGAATCAACTGCCAAATTACTTCTCGGTCGACGCTGTCGAAGGCCTTTTCAAAGTCGATGAATTTGAGGTAGAGAGTTGACTGCCATTCTATGCTTTGTTTTATGATGGTGCGTAGCGTGGTGTTGTAATTTGATCCACTCATGATTTGTTCTTCCTGAATCTAGCCAGTCAACCTATTCCGGTCGAAATTTTGAATCCAGCGCATCCTTTAGTCACTCCAGGATGATGAGCTTTAATACTTGCTTGGGATGGACAGTGGCATGGTTCCACGCCAGTTCTTGCAAAGACTTAGGTCGCTCACCCTTCTCTGGGAGTTTGACAAGCTAATCCTTCTTCCAGTCTACAGGTGCCTTTCTTCCTTCCTTGCAAATCTTCTGCAATAGTGATGTGAGCATGTCCGCTGTTGTCTCTGCATGTGTTTTCAGTGCTTCTGGTGGAATTCTATCTGGTCCTGCTGCTTTCACGGATTTCAGCAACTCTATGGCGTTTAGGACTTCTGCTTTTGTCGGTAGACCTGTGTTCACTGGTAGTTCTGCCGTTGCTGGTGGTATGTCTAGACGAGTTGCAGATGATGAGGATGTGAGGAGCTATTTTTCATTGGTTATGTTTGCGTTGATATCTTCCCTCCGAGATAGTAACCTGGTTATTTGGTATGATGGTGTCAGGTCTCTGTCCCTCCTACCAGCAGCATGTTCTGCTTCACTTGCCAATGTGTTGTAGAAGTGTCTTTTGTGTTTCCGTGCACTCTTCTTCACTTCTTTGTCCAGTGTTTTATACGTTGTACTCAGTTTGTCTTTTCGTTGTGCATCTTTGCACTGGTTCATTTTCTGCTTCACCATCTTTCTCTCCCTGCTCTATCAGCTTCCATGTATCCGTCGAGATCCATTTTTTGTCTTGTTTCCTCTTCCCTCCTAATACGATTATGCAGATCTCTTTCCACATCTGTTTCAAAGAGTTCCAGCGTTCTTCCACACAGGTTTCTTCAGGGATGTTGCTCAATTTCTCCCATTTGGTTATGATCCAATCAACGATAGGATAATACAAGCAACAACACTACCCTATAGTTTATCTACTACTTATGAAGCTATTGCAGGCTCAACTGATAAAGGAAAAGATAAATTTTCGAAGCTATGCAATTGTATTTATAACAAATATACGACAGCCTATTATTGAATAATAGAATAGTATTGTGTCATTAGTATAATATTCAAATCGATTCCTACAGATCGTAGATGTGGTAAAGAAAATGTGAGAATTTCATCATATGATAGTTGAAAATCCTCTTGATAAATGTGAAGATAGTGGAGGAGGGGGGGCAAGAAGGAAGCGTTAGAACAGAACTGATACCATTGAACTAACTCATTATGATCATTTAGAACAACAAACTGTCAGAGATTTAACAAAATAAGGATTCGATTTAAATGAATGAATGAATTGCCTTTGTCACCGGTATACACAAGTAACAGAATTACACTCTTTTCGAACTGTTTACCTTAACTTTGTAGATAATTTTGAAAGTAGAGACTATAATGAAGTAATGGGTTGAGAATTGACTAGGTGTTCAAGAAACAAACAAATGGTTGATATAAGTTCTCCTCCCCACCAGTCATATGATGTATAATGCTCTTTATGTGGCCGGATATAAGCGACTCCACAAGAGCAAGTAGACTTGTATATACATATTGAGATGATCCTAAGTGGTCACTTGTAATTAACATAATCAGGAACTAGTTGCAAACTCCAGAAGGTGAAGTGTATTCCGGTTGAAAAGGTTGTGTTTTTTTTAGAGATTTGAACAAACAATTCTTCAAGATTTCAGCTGTAGTAACACCACCCGAAATCAATGCTCATAAACAGTCTTTTTGGGAACAACATAGATCTGCTCAGCACATTGGTTGACTTTCAAGTAATCATTAATAAATGTGAATAAGTGTCTGTTCTTCATAAGTATCTATTAAAGTCAGTTCAGTTCATCATGAACTGTATCCTTTGTACACATTTTTTTTCTAATTCTCAATGATAATGAATGAAATAGACTTCAAGTTGTTATTCATCGTAGACCAACATCAGTTGGAGGAACAAAGGAAATATGGGAGCACTGGACAGCGGTTTCGTCCTAGTATGGGACTCCTCAGCAGTGAGCACCCACGGCCCCACACCAGCAGGGATTGAACCCCGCAACCTTCAGGTTCCGCGGCCAGCGCGTTACCATTGAGCCACTGGGTCAGAATCCAATGTTCCATATTTCCAACTTCTGTTAGCTCACGATTTCGCTTTATCCTCAACAAGCTCTAACTATGAAAGGTTATGCTATCATCCAGTCCATGTTAGATTTCTCTAGATTGATATTTCAAGTGAACCATCTAGCCTCCTTTTCAATAAAACATTCAGGAATTGAAAAGTCAAGTTATCCTCAGATTTCAAAATGAAGCTGATCAACTGATGACAACCACATAACTAATTTACCTAAGTAGATAATTAATGGAACTCAGACAGGTACATTTGTTTATGCATTAATCTAAAGGCTGTATTTATTGTTTAAGCTAATGATTCTAGTCAATCATCAAGACAAGAGTAGGTGAAGCAAGGTTTGAACCTGAAACCTTGAAACTACTCACTTTCTTGAACTTTGAACGCTATTCAACAGAGTAATTACGGTGTGTGTGTGTGCGTGATATGGAAGGATGAATTCGTTCATCAACTTCAGAAAACTATGTATGTTGGGAAGATGGTAAAGAATGCAGGCTGGATGAGATAAACATCTCCTGAAAAATAACAATCAGTAGCCGTACAGCATAAGAATAGTATAGATTACTTGAACGTTTTATCTTTGTGTTAGCTGAGAACCCTTACTTTCTCTGCCTGGTGTCTACTCTACCTTATTTCCTTCTAAAATATCTTATTGGATCTCATCTTTGTCTGTCGTTGATCTGCTAGGAAGTGTATAAGACATACAGGCATCTACATGATAAAGACCGTGAGAGAAATACTAGAGACGAACAGAAGTATACGAGTTGGTGGTTATCAGTGGGTAACTATCCATGTAGCTGTCTGGTCCTTAGTACTTAGCGCTAAACATAATCTACAGGTCAAGTTTTGAAATGTGACCACTGAGCGAAGTGGTACAAGGCTGCATGACGCCGGGTTCACGATGATCAAGAATGCTCTGACCTCAGGTGGAGACTCACCATTGCACCTTAGTGGGTTGAAACTCGCGATGAACGCAAATCGGGTGTGCTCAGAAGTGTAGTTTTTGTGAGGATTTTACCGGTCTCTTAGCACACCATTCTTGTATATCATCTGTATGATAATGAAGCAACAACCCACACATATCACATAAGCAAGCACGCCAGCAATCTCAGCTTGGTTTTTATGTATACAGGGGATATTCGGTAATGATTGTTCGGCAGGTTCATCTACGAAAACACTGTTACGGTTTTTACTTCTTTTAAACAGTAAAATTAGGTCTTGTCAGCAGAGCCACTCCAACGACATCAATCCGACGGCTTCACTAAACTATTCAATCGTAGTAGCGACAGAATGTATGTACAAAGGGCAGGAACGTATTCTGTCCAACCCTTTTGGCCCAGGTTTTCAGACTCGCTGGCACCGTCATCATAACATATGTGTGGTCACGGACATCTAAGGGTATTACAGAACTGTTGTTACTGGAGTTCATGCGACCTAAGTGTGCCGGTTGTCCCTTTCAGAAGCAAAAACTGGCACCATACCCGCTGGAATACGACTGCAACACTTCATAAAGTGATAAAAGCCACGTCCTGAACAAGCACAGAGGACCAGTCTACTATTTTACAAGGTTAAAGTCTCCACTGTTAACAGAATTAACCAGGCAAATCGCTCCATCAACTAAGAACGGCAGTGTAGGCTGTATTTTGGTGTTACATATTAGAAACCCTGGATGTACGTCTCTGCAACTATGAGAAAACTGGTGTTCACTTGGTCATTCAAACACAAGTCTTGCTTGTTTAAACAAAGCTCAGTTATGCGCGCACATACGCACTGATATCAAATTAGACTTTAGTATCAGTCACATAGGATAATGCACACTAAAGATAGTCAGTTGATAGGCTGCCATGTTTTATTAAGCTAAAGTGTTTGACAAAACTCTTATCTATTCTACCATTTGTGTTTGGTGAATGGTTAACATTATCGCTTTGGTTTACTAAATAGCTATGGAAATGACTATTGAGGATGAACAGTATAAGCAGATTATAGGTTTTTTTCCTGTGAGGTGGAGCCAATGAAGTGAGCAATCCTGTAATTTGCCAGACAGGCGAAGAATAATAATCAGGTGATATGGATAAAAAAGTAGAATGAAATGGTTCAATCCAACTATCGTCTACCCTGTCGTATCGTTATCTGAAGTAAGCGTAGACCGAAAAAAAAGTCAAGGCTAATCTGATCAAAAAATATCGCCAATGTACAAAGTCTCTGCCTGTCAACTTGAGTTCATAAGGGTAGGAAAGGCTGTCTGGTCACGAATGAAATGTTGAAAACCCTTGATAAAATGCTTTAAACAAGTTCATTTTTCGTTAGCCTCAAAATTTAGAATATTTGATTAATTTTTATTGAATTGATCGCTCTCTTCCTCTCTTTTTGCATACTTTTCTGTTCCCTTATCTATTTAAACGTTATTATGAACCATAGCAACTTGCGTAGCAGCATATTTCGTAGAAAAGTTTTACGTTATGTCTGTATGTTTATTCATTAAGGATGCTGTCGAAAGTTAAGACGCTATGGATTGGACCAAGCGTTCCAAACCCGCACTAAATAACATTCGTTTAAAAAGTCGACTTTCGACCGCTGCGACACGGCTTCGAACACCGCTTCATCCATCGAGGTTTGGGGTGTAGCTCATTGTCCACTAGACGAATGTTCACGACATCGCTGAGTGAATTTCGAATCCTAGTTGTCATATCTACAATGGAATACTGAGACCGTTGGTTCGAATCGTGTTGTGACAAAGATTTTCATTTCAACCACTATTCTGCATCATAAATATCAGTTTGTCAGAAATTACAAGTATCTCAGATAGTCTCATACTCTGCAAATCCACCCAACACACATACATACTAGCAGCCAAACACGCATAGATACACACAAAGTTGAACAATTGCCTACACTGTAGTGGTATTTACTAACAATTGCATACAGACAAACCTTACAAAAATAAGCATAATCATAGGAGAAAACACCGAATTTCCAGAAAATATCTAGCAGGCAAAGGGAAATAACAACACAAATACAAAAAGTGACTTACACGATCTTCATAATCCATCAATCCAGTTGTATCACTGACTACTCCTAGACGAGATGACATTAACTAAACGATGGATGATGAAAAAATATAAAAAGTAGGTATACTCCGTTTACTTACAGGGATACACACAAAAATCAATAACTCTACACAATATTAATAAATTATATGAGAATCACAACGTCTCTAACGGCATATATATATATACTCATAAATAAAAGATTAAAAACAAAAAATCGATAAATAGTTAGAAAAAAAAGTAAATTAATTAATCAATTTATTGACGGAATAAAACAAATAAGTATTTGTTTTCTATTGAAAGTAATAATGATAAATAAGAAGAATGATGTTCACCTATTTACCCTATTACTATAGGTTAACACATTTCAACCACGATTGTGTTGTCAAAGATAACAATAGACCTTAATTATCAATATTAATCGATTAGTGTAAAGAAGAAGAGAAAAAAAAGAAAAGAAAGTACATCACAAATAGTAATGATCATTGTGACTATATTTCCACTGATCATGTATTCATGAGAAAAAGATTTAAACAAAATAATGTATGTTTAGTTAAGGTCATATATATATTAAAAGAGGACTAACAACCATGACAAATGACACACACACACACACACACATGAATGATAATTAGTGAACTAACAGACAGTAAGGTCACCTGAGTATAAAGAAAAAAAAAGTAGGAGGAAGGGAATTATCAATCCGATTAGAAGAAAAACTTGAGGACTACACTAAATCATTCAGAAAGTGAGCAAACCACACACACACACACCAAAGGGATAGTTGTACACATATTCTATCTATTTCAATCATATCTACAATATATGAATGATGCTTTTCAGAACCACACAACAATAATACTCTTCATATGATTAAAATCTCTTGATCTACCGTATATTCTGTGTTTTTAAGAAAAATCATCATTCAATAATTACACTATGATGAAATACTATTTTCAAATTTTAATTTCAAGTTGTTATTCATCGAAGACTGACATCAGTTGGAGGAACAAAGGAAACCTGGGAGCACTGGACAGCTGTTTCGTCCTAGTATGGGACTCCTCAGCAGTGCGCACCCACGACCCCACCAGCAGGGATCGAACCCGCGACCTTCAGGTTCCGCGACCAGCGCGTTACCCTCAAAATTTAATTGAACTAGTGCTCGTTGGTGACTAGCTTCGAGAAGTATTCCCGAAGTTCCAATGACAAGTCGTGACCGGTGGAGTCAAAGCCTGATGGCCATGAGGACAAATACTCAACGATGACATTGGGTGGCGGTCTGCGCTATATCGTGAGCTAACAGAAGTTGGAAATATGGAGCATTGCATTCTGACCCAGTGGCTCAATGGTAACGCGCTGGTTGCGGAACCTGAAGGTCGCGGGTTCGATCCCTGCTGGTGGGGTCGTGGGTGCGCACTGCTGAGGAGTCCCATACTAGGACGAAACAGCTGTCCAGTGCTCCCAGGTTTCCTTTGTTCCTCCAACTGATGTCAGTCTTCGATGAATAACAACTTGAAATAATTCCAAATCTCCACAACCCCTCAAAATTTTAATTTATATTACTGAAAAGTTTCATAGAGTTGGAAAGAGTTGGATAGATGGATATAGAAGGCAAGTAGTAGTTAGTAGCCTCAATACTAGTCATCAACCTAAATAATAACTTTCTTTTCCCAGTTTCATTTTCACCTTTGTATAATCTGATCAATTGAATCATATGAGTTAGTTCATATCTCCAATCAGACAAATTATATATGAAAATTGGATTCGATAAACTTCTCTATCGATTGACTCATAAAATCTCTAACACCAGGATAGTAATAATTATTTTCACAAAACGAGAATATTATGATAAATTGTTTGGTTGTGGCTAGCAGAAGAATCCAGGAAGCGCGTTCCGTCCTATTTGGGACTGGTCAGTTGGATATACTTCCACCCCGGTGATGTTGTTCCCACTGTGACTCGAACCGCGTACCTATCGCTTCAAACGCCACGGAGGAACGGGTAGTAGTCATTACTACTTATTGACATACTTGTTATTCTCCGTTGTTTTGTTGGATCGAATTGTTCGACCCGTTGTACAAGAAGTGGCTATCGTTCCTCCGTGGCACAGCGGATAACGCCTTGGCGCTTGAAGCGATGGGTACGCGGTTTCAGTCGCAGTGGAAACAATATCACTGGGGTGGAGGTACATCCAGCTGACGAGATCCAGGTAGGACGAAACGCGCGTCCTGGATTCTTCTGCTAGCCACAACCAAACAATTTATCATAATTAACATTCAGGCAATATCGAGGTATCCGCATAGGAGCCCATATGCTAACTATTCTACATCATCAGAATAAATAATGAGACTGACTTAAAAAAAATCAAAATTGAACTGAAAACAATCTTATTTCAAATAGTGGAGAATATTTGTAACTCAGGTGGATGATCTCAGTTGTAATGTGTTCACTCAGCTGGATTGTTGAATCGTCAAGCTTTCATCGTCTTTCTAGACAACATCATCAGCACTATCTTCACTATCAAGGAAACTGTCAATCTCTCTCTCTCTCTCTCTCTCCGTAAATAATTCACTACCTTCACATGACAAAGTGGTCTGTCATTGCTTGTTTCCTTCGATTGTTGTCTCATTCACTGTATACATACTCTTGTTGCCTGTTCCTTCGTCTCATCTCTGACCTCTCTGTCCTTTACCAACTTTCTTATTGCTTGACAGATTACTTCTATGTCTACACATCTATTGATTGCTCGCTGACTGACTGACTGACTGACCTGAATGACAAGCTTCTAGGAATTCTCTGATATTATTTGTCTTTTCTCTTTCCAAGATTTCTACATTGTCAAAATTCAGTTCATGTCTATAGTTGTTATCCACGTGCATTGAAATGAGCGATGAAATGTTGTATGTGACGTTGACCAGCCTATTGTAGTTCATGTAGAAGAAGGTGAAGAGAGCAACCATTTTGTCTAATGTCACGTTGACTACAGTTACAGAGGTTGATTTTGTAGATGATATTCGGTTTGCCTTCTTTGGCTGTCTCATCCTTCGGTCTGCATAATAGTGTTTCGAGAGAATTTGTTGGTTTATGAGCCACAACAATGCCACCAAGTGGTCTCAGTAATCTTGTCGTGATTTCTAATATATATTCTTTATGTATGGTAGGATGATGCGTTTATTGATTTATGTCGATGACTTTGTAGTTGATGATGTGGGGGATAAGCATCTTGTGATAAAGTTTCATGGGTAGCCGTTCTTCTTTAGGATAGATATCAAGTAATTTTCTTCGTTTCTCTGTGAAGTTGTTGTACTGCAGTGTGTTCTCGCTCTTTTAAATAGAGTCTGCAGGCAACTGATTTTGTGTGTTGTTGGGTTGTTGCTATTGTAGTTGAGGATTTGGTCAGTGTGTATTGACTTCCTGCACACTTGGATTTCCAGTTTCCTGGCATTCATCCTACTAACTAAAACATTGAAGAATGGTAGTTGGTTGTTCGACTCCTTCTCCATTGTGAATTTGATGTCATTGAAAACGTTGTTGATCAAATTGTGGGTGTTTTCTTTGTCATCTTTCTTAATGATGACAAAAGTGTCGTCCATATAGCGAATCCAGAATTTTGGTTTGATCACAGGCAGGATGATGGCTTCCAGTTTCTGCATCACTGCTTCTGCAATAAGTCCGGATATTGGTGATCTCATTGGAGTTCCTTTCATGTGTTTGCATATCTTGCCGTTGAATGGGAAGTATGTTGTCAGACAACGGTCGATGAGTCCCATTAGACTTGAACGTTTGAGTTTTGTGCATTTTGTAAGGCTTGTGTCTTCATTGAGTAGGAGAGATATAGTTTCCTTGGCCAATTAGGGTTTAAAGGATACCATTAATTCCTCGTTCTCTTTGTTAATACTTTTGATCTTTTCTAAGAATTCTGTTGGTGTTATTTCAATCTTCAAAAAACAATCAAATGTGTGTAAATAGAAGATATGTCAGAAGCAGTAAGTGGAAATATGACACAAGAGTTTGCAAGATAATAATGCTGAACTCCAAGATTTCAGAGATGGAAGCATAGGAAACTTCGAATAAATCGAATTGCAACCCCACCCACTACCATGCTGGGTTGAACTGTTCGAACTATGTTGGCAGATGGACTCTTACGCAGATGTCAAGATACAACTTGGATAATCATTAAATTTTAGTCTATTTAGTGGCTAGTAGTAAAACCTAGGACGACAGTTTCGTCCTATTCGGGACTCGTTAGCTGGATACACCTAACTCCTGGTGAGTGCTGTTCCTATTTATACTCGAACTTAGTACTCATCAGTTCAAACGCTTCAAAAACACAACAATATGATGAATATCCAAGTAATATACGCATAATAGCCCATCTAACGACGGAAATCGAGCAATCCAACGCAGTGTACCAAAAAGGAAATTAAAACTACCGATAAACAATAACTGATACCCCTTGCACAACTAGTGACCCTCGTGCCCCAATGGATAGCACTTTGGTGTTTAAAGCGGCGGGTACCGGATTCGAGTCTCTATAGGATACAGGTGCGTCCAGCTGACGAGCACCAAATAGGAGGGAACGTGCTCCCCACCTTCCACTCATAGCCATCAAATAGACTGTAAATTCCCTCTACTCTAACACATAATCGGTACAAAACATGTATTAGGAATGTGCTACATAAAATAACATAACAATACTATGAAGTAAAGAAATTAAAACATGCAACACGAGAAAAAGAACGAGTGAATAAACAATCAGTTTGATAAAAAAACATTCAAAGTTACTTTTCAAGAGTAGAAGACATACAAAACTACGAGATGATCGCCAGTGAGTTCGACCCACATCCATATATGATATGGCCTCCAATTGCATGATCTCTTGCACCCTACCAACGAAGTCTCGAGAGGGGGGAAGCAGTGTAAAGTCTTCATTGCAGCATTACAACACCACATGATGTGTGACGACTGAGGCATTACCTCGACATGAAAAGTGAAACAATTGATCGACTTAGGGATTTACTCTAAAAACCTAAACCACACGATTGAACACCAACGTCAAGAGCTGCATTCACATGATCACCGATGACAAAAATAGGCTTGTGCACCATTCGTTCGTTCTGAATTTTATAGTCTATATGTGCCACTGATTTTTCAACTCCTTTAAGTGGACGCTCTGTATCCAGTAATGCAGTGATAAGCACAAAATTAGTGATGGATCATGGCTAGCAGTGGAGTCCAGGATGCACACTTCGTCCTATTTGGTACTCGTCAGCCAGGTGTAACTGTTTCCCAGCGAGTGGTTTCCACCGGGATTCGGACTCGGGAGCGAACGCTGCAAACGCTAGGGCGTTATCCACTACACCACCGAGCCACGATAGCCACTTCTTGTGCGACAGGTATAGTTTTAGTATAATTGTCCCAAATAGGACGAAATGCGCATCAGGGATTCCACTGCTAGCCTAGATCTATCATTAATACAATTAGAACGCAGGCAATATCGAGGCATCCGCACAGGAGCCCATATGCCAATAGAGACCGATCAATTCGGTCCAATCAATGACGGTATCATATAAAAACAATTACAATCAGCACAGAATATTGTTTCACTTCAATTTGTGGGAACACCTCCACTAATTAAAGGTAGTGAGTGAATAAAATTCCCCTACTAGACACTGTGAATACAAAGTCGAATGAAAGCGCTTCTATAAAATGAATGGATGTGAAACAAGTAAACAGATTTGAACGATGTGATTTATCTGCGTTGTCTGAAAATATTTTCGAAACCACGGAGTTTACATGGATTGATCTAATCACAAAAGGATCATTGATACGTCTAGTATACACAGACGATAGAGTCCTGTTAGGTGAAGACAATGACAAGATGTAGAGTCTTCTGGGAACCATGAATAGCAGTTTAAGAATGTTTGGGGTGCGTTTCTCGCTACACAAATGCAAATTATTGCTACAAGACTGATCTCCTGAGATGCCTCGGCTAACAATAGAGATTGAAGTGGATGAGTGCGCTGAACACTTCATATACCTGGAAAGTCAGGTCAGTCCTGTTGTGTTGGTCAGTGGTAGACAAAATCTCTGCACAGATACAAACAGCTCAACTAGCTTTTGCTAAATTACACCATTTATGACGTTAGCACAATGCACCTGCAGTCTTAAAGGAACTCAAACTTTTTCCAAATATCCAAACTGGTATCATTTTGACCTATTCATAAAATAAATAGATTCCTTTAGGACTGAATTAGCCAAATTGATTAGTTGGTTAATTGGCGAAATACGCTTGACAATTCATAATAAACAGTATGATGCTAGTTACTCTCACGTGGAACATTGTTACCATAGCGACTTTTACTCTTCGGAAGACCGTATGCTATTACTCCATCATGAGAACAAATCTGACCCAAAATGATATTTTTTTAAACTTAATGTTTATATATTTTTCATTAAAAAAAAAGGGATACGACTAAATAGAACCTTGCAAAAAGGCGCGTCAGTTAAAGCTGCCACGCTTTGTAACAGCATACAGCAATCTAGGCAAATATGTAGGTGTATAGGTATCTTTATAGATACGAGAAAAATATATGGACACACACTAATAAAAAGCAAAACCTTCCGATGCTGGTAGAATGAGTCCATGTCATCCAATTATTGGTTCTCAGAAAACGCAGAACCGTAACAATGACGATCATGATTTCCAGCCCAATTGAAACCAATAAACGGTGGTTTTTTACAGATGAGAACCATGATCTATCATGGCAATACCTCGGCATGTGTATTCTGCATTTTGTACACCACAGTTGATGCAGACTTACATCATCGACTGTGTTATCTTCATTGACTGAAACCTACATTTAGGCAAATCATTGCTAACCTAAGTGTTCTTACCATATTAAGCAGATATCCTATCTTATAATGACAATTAGACTTCTACAGTGGAAGAATCCAAATGTACAGCATATTTCAGTGTGTCGTAACTGTATCATCTAAAGCAACCTACCGAGATAAGCAATGATCTACACAATAGGATACACCATTTTTATTGGTTTATTAGATTTATCATACAATGGAACAGTATTGTTTACTGGATCACCTTCTGGACATAATTTATTGTTCATTGTCATATCTAAATAACTATACAACTTTGAAACAACCTCTATATTAGTCCTAATTTCCTCGAGCTCTTTATGATATGGGTAATAGGACTTTCTCTATGTCTAAGAGAGGGTCAGAATCATTCCTGTTGCATATATTAGGTGCTGATTCGATCAACAAAGATTCCGTTGTCAATCTCGCGCTCCACCCTGTTATGTTAGTTTTGAGGATTTATACTCCATCCCATCCTATTTTGTGGTTGTGTGCAATTGGATACATATCTATGGTCGAACTGTTTTCTAGCTTCTCTATGCTGCTAAGACCTACTAATTTTGACCTAACTAGGTTTTTGTGCCTGGTCGACTACTTTGACCTATGTATTTGACATCACAAGGGATTTGGTAAACTTAGTTTTTCTGCTTAATTGGATCAATGGGAAGTTTTAAACTGCACAGCTTATTTCTAAGTGAGTTTTTAGATTTAAATGCTACTCTAAACCTAGCCAGCTTTATTCATAATCCTACGTAATGTTTCTGAGGTGCCTTCTTTGTATGGTAATACTGCAGAGGTTTCGGATTCTCTCTTCACAGTATTATCACAATGATTATTAACGTTATTATTACAACTACGAATACATGTCTTACTAATATTTTTCTTACGATTCCTAAGGAACTTATCCATTAATACGGGAGGATAATTGTTGATGATCTAAGATGTAAGACAAGAAACCAGATACATTAAGGAAACCTTAATCATCAACAACTACCCTCCTAAATTAGTTGATAAGTCCATTAGGAATTGTAAGGAAAATATTAGTAAAGACATGTGTTAATAGCAGCGAGAATAATGTTAATAATCATAGTGACAATACTGTGAAGAGAGAAACCGAAACCTCTATAGTATTACCATACAAAGAAGGCGCCTCAGAACGATTACGTAGGATTCTCAATAAACCTGGCTGGATTAAAGTGGCAACCTACAAGATCCTATTGATCCTACTAGGTGGAATAATTTGTTCTACCAAATCCCTTGCCTACGCTCGTTACTGAAGATCAGATGGCCAGAATAGTAAGAATAAGCAACAAGGAACTCTGGTCTGGCAACGAACCAACCAAGAACCTATCGCTCAACAAATATGCAGAAGAAAATGGAGATGGATTGGGCATACACTGAGAAGACTGATTGGGGACATCACTCGATAGGCCAGGCCATCGAGTGGAACCCAGATGGGAAGCGACGAGTTGGACGTCCGAGGCTAGGGTGACATGGAGGAGACGGTGTGAGGAAGAAATGAGAAGTTGTGGGCTGTCGTGGAACCAAGTTCAAAAGTTTGCAGAGAACAGAGTGCACTGAAGATGTGCTACTGAAGCCTTATGCTCCATTAGGGATAAATAATAATAATAATAATAATAATAATAATAATAATAATAATAATATGAATCCCTTGCAACGATTGTGAAGTCAAATGCATGCATAGGTTGAAGAAGTCGATCACGGAAACCTAGCTAAGTCAAAATTGGTAGATGCTTCTGTTATAATGTATGATAAATCTAACAGATCAACTAAAATGGAATCACATTCTACCAAAGTACACAAATTTTACTCTTACATTAACAGGATATACAACTTACGCTTAGATGTTAAACTGTTAGGCTGAATACATTCTGCGCACTAAACATATATAAATCTATGTAACACTCTGTGATACATACACCTTTCGTGTATCAACCATGGGGGAAAATATCCAGTAGAACAAAACCAAGAATATGGAGTAGAACTGGAACACATTACACAAAATTGTATGAATTCTAACTTCAGCAAATTTGATTAAACACATGAAAGAAAACTACAGACTATTACACAGCCAACTTTAACAGGTACGTAACAGAATGTATAAAGCAAGACAAAGAAAAGAAAAAAGAAATAAGTTGTACACACAAAAACGGCGGGAAAGATGATAAATATTTTTGTTTAAATTCACCTGTTGAATCGCTTCCATCAATGCTTGTTGTACAGACTCTTCCATACCCATTATTTTTTGGATATAGGTTTCTTTGTTATCACAGTTTACGGCACATCCAAGTATAAGTTGAAGCAGACGAAATGTAGCCTCTTTGTCTTCATTTTCAGCTAGGAATGAATATAAAGGTGAAAAAAATCATCATCGAAAATTAATTGTATTTCAATCACACTACTAACTATCTCAATAAGTAGTACAACTCATTTTCTTTATTTTTATGAGTTAGAGAAATTTCGTTGACTTTTGCTATCAGATATTCCATATCAGAGCTAATACTGCTAAGATTATCGATTAAAAGATGTACAAGTTATGGTGTAGAATTCATATGTGAAACAAAAATGCTCGTTTCAGATTAACATTGTGAGTAAAAGCAAAAAATCTTCTCCAAACCAAAAACCACGTACATCAGTGCGCTATTCCATAGCTGAACTTTATTGTTATCATTTGTCCCTTGGGATCCTAGTGGAACATAGGGCTTCATACCACGTTGTCATCTCACTCTCTTCTCTGCAGTCTTCTCCATCTGGCTACACCACTGCCCACAAGCTTTCATTTCTTTCTCACACCATCTCCTCCATGTCACCCTCGCATCGCACTCGTCGTTTTCCATTTGGCTTCCACTCGAGAGCCTGATTTGATGCGTGATGTCCCCAGACGGTCTTCTCAATGTATGTCCAATCCAATCCACTTCCACTTTCTTCCACTGCATATTTGTTGGCCGACAGGTTGTTGGTTGGCTCGTTGCCAGCCAACCAGAGTTCCTTGCTACTTATTCTTATTATTCTAGCCATCTGATCAACAGTATTGAGTGAGCGTAGGTGGCAGCTGATGATGTATGTCCGCAGTTTGTTGAAAATGCTTTTCGTAATGCGCTAAGCCTCTCAAACATCACATAGAAGTACTAAGTTACCTGACTGAATAAGTGTTGAAAATCCGGATCTTGTTCACATTTTATGCCGAGTACAGTGCAGTAGATCTCCACACTGATTTCATACTAATGAAGGCCTGATTTGCTGTTTTTCTGATCCTGGCTCTGACATCCTTATCTGTGTCGCCATCGCCTATAGTTGAAAGAATGATGCCTTGCCTAAATTGGTGTAGGTGAAAGAGACAAATTAGGTTGAATAATATTTAACATTTCGATGTATTGTTTGCCCGCCTGTACACTCAACACATTGATTGTGCCATCAAAAGTGTGACAGATGCATAGAAATTCAACAATCTGAAATGTGAACTTAAACCGATCTTCATTTCAACTTTATTCTAGGTAATCTATTCCACGCAACAAAGTTCAAGACATTGAAGAAGACTTGGATTTTTAAGATGATTAGCATACTTACTTCTGATGACATTATAAAATTTCACTGAATGAGTGACATCACCTTACATCATTGATAATTTGATCTAAATTCGGATTAGGTTGGAAGAAAGCCTTAAGAGAAGTAGATTAAACAGTTACATAACCCATAAAATCTGTGAGCAATGAAGGTAACCACCGATTTCCTAACCTATATGTACCAAACTATTGATCTCAGCCATTGAAGAATTCAAGGTGAAAAACTTAAAGAAATAATTTCAATACTAAAAGTCTATCTACATTATTTTTATTAAACATCTTCATTCCTTTTATCAAGCCAAATAAGGGAGCATTGGAGACCTGTTTCAAATCAATCAGAAATACTTCAAAAGTGTAATCAATGAACCCATGAAAAATCAAATCCAGGATCTCATTAGTTTATGAAGTGAGCAAATTATTATCTAACCATTGGCTTGAAACATAATAGTCAACTTTTTGAAACAAATTTCACAATCTTTTTTTATGTTAACTTCTCTATATTTATCTTTATATGAAATATAGAAATATGGTCGTATACAACAGATAGACAGACAGACAGACAAAATCAACGTGGAACCTCGCATACGATTGTATTTCACAGCAGTATACAACGAATAGGTGGATCAGAAAGACTCAAGTAGACAAAAGTGGTATGGAAAGAAAGAGAATTGGTAAATTCCGTTTAGTTAAAACACATTCAAGTTTTTGAAGATATTAAGGAGTGAATATATCAGCTCCATTGTGACTGGTTTTCAGTTATATCATCAAAAATTCTCAAGTAATGATTCCTATCGTCTTGGGGACCTCAATCCCATAGTCTATATCTCCCTCACACGACTTAAATCCACAGTCAGAGGTCTCATGGACTGATGATACATCTTAGGTCTAGTTACTCTGAACTCTCTTCCAACTTCATCCAATCTCTCCGTAGACAGGCAGTGACTCAGCATGCGCAGTACATGTCCAAGTCACTTCAGTTGATGATTATTCACAAAGTTACATTTAAAAACAATAATAATAATAATCACAAAACTTTGAAAAAATAAAAAATCATTAGTTGAACATACCAATTTCTTGAAGATTTGGAAGGAATTGCACAGATATTCTATCTTCAATTCCCTGAATCAAGAGAAAAAAGACAGAAATATGAACATAAAAGCTGTTTTATATACCAAGGATACAAAAATAACGGTAGCAAACACATCAACCATAAGACATGAAGCCTTTATTTCCAGCATGATGCGGTAATTCCAAGATATTTGTGCTATTTTCTGCGTAAATCAATCAGCTGTTAAACAGTGCAACACATAAACTAAAACCAAATGTGAGACACAATTCGTTTTCTAGACAGCTGAATTTGTTCGGTATATATTCCTCTTTGCATAAAGCAATAAATCTTTACCTACATAATCTTAAGGTCTTTGGTTACATATGTCTTTAAAGAAATGCTCGTATACGATGAAACCGCTATATCAGCTATGTCCAGGCTGGGAAAAGACTACCAAGAAGTGAATACAAATAAGTTATTGAGGTAGAAAACACTGATCACTTAAGGTGCCTGATACGCGTGTCTTCACATGCTGAGACACCGCCTACCTAGAAATATGATGTTAGCAGATAACAAGATTAGCTTAGAAGAAAGCAAAGAATGAACAGACAAAGATGTTAACGCTATCCATTAAGTTACGGAACGCTGGTTTAACCCATGTGGGGAGACATAGGCTGCTCAACCGGGATTCCTGAAGAACTGATAGTAAAAACAGTAAGTAAGCTGACTATAGTTGCTTTAAGCAACACCAACAATTTGGTCATAATTTACTAAAATATCCGCCAGTATAAGAATTAGACCCATCAACATAGGACTAAACGGTTCAAGATGCCATATCTCACATCAGCCCGCCAAATAACAAAGTAATACGATGAAAGATGAAGAAATAAAGGGGAATCGGTCAAAAGTAGTAGACAGTATTGCAAAAAATGTCTCAATTTCAAAAAAAATGAGTCAAATCACTGAGAACTAACACTTAGTTGATGTCACTTACAATACTAACCAAGGTAAATCAAAAGAAGAAGAAGATATAAACAAAACGACGTAGGACCTAGAACAGAAGTGGACTAATTCACGCTCCAAAGTAAATAAAATGTAATGAGGGAAGATAGAAGAAACCCTAACCATTTGATCCTGATCCAGTGGCTCAACGGTGACGTGCTGGCTGCGGAACCTAAAGGTCCTGGGTTCTATCCCTGGCGAGGTTATGAATATCCACTACTGAGGAGTCCCACACTTGAGCAAAACTGTTGTTTAATGCTCCCAAGTTCCCAATGATTCCCCAACTGATGTGAATCCGTGATGAATACCGACCTAAGATAAACAAAGTTGATAGAATATTCAAACTTTCGTAGACGTGAAGGAGTATATAGATCTAGAATACTGTGATTAGATCTCAACCATATCATAAAAGATCTCCAATCATTGATTCATATTATCTCGAGGACCCCAACCAAGTAGTCAATACTTCCCCCACACGGCTCAGACCAACAGCCATAAACATCATGGACTGGTGCCACGTCTTGATCTAGACACTCTTAGTCTTCTCCTAACATAATCCTACTTCTGCTAACGTCGCACCCCGAAGAAGGCGGTGGTTCGCTGTGCGCAACACATGTCCAACCCACCTCACTCGATGAGGCTTTACAATCTCATCGAAAGACCTGACTTCCTTACCTAGTACAATCTACGTAACCTCCACAATGCTCACGTGGTGATTCCACTACATGTGTGCAATGCTGTAAATATAACTGTGGTCAAAGCCTGTAACCTCTGCATATATTTTACTCTCAATGGCCACATCTTGCAGCTGTATAAAAGGATAAAACGGACTGTAGTGCAGAATATTTGCCCGTTATTAGGTAATCAGATACCTCATCGATGCGAGAGACAATGTAATCTGGTATTTACCAGATGGGCATTTTGTATAAGAGTTGAGATTTCGATAACAACCAACCACTTTGAGATGATGCAACTTTCCAAGTAAGTGAAGGGGTTAATGTATTCCTCCACTTCTTTTCAAGTATAACGTTTGTGACACGCGAACAACGTTAAGTTATAGCCAGGTAGAAAAAATATTGATTGAATTTCTGTTGTACAGTAAGTTAACACTCCAATGATAGGTCGGTCATCCTACGTAGACATTCATGATCATGCTAAGTCTGAATTTTATGGAGTCAACTGAATCGAAATTCACTTAGTAACCACATTCACGTTTTTTGCAGTAGGCAAACAGCCAATCGAATTGTATGAGGGTTAATAATACTACTTGGCTATCCAGACCTTGGTAGGTGTAGCGGGATTCAAACACATAACCTACTGGTTAAAAGTCAAGCACCAAGAACAATGAGTTTTACAGATGACTGTTAGTGGGACATAAGTTGTTTCCGCTTTTTACCAAATCATCGCTTCAGCATATTGTAATTTGCTATTTTCAGTCTACTGATCAGTCAGTATTCTACCTACCCTCCTTATTCAATCGTAATTGATTTCAGAAGAAAAGCTCGAACTTGTTATTACTAAAAGTTATCACGTTATACAGAATAGAGAGACTCAATCAACCAGTTTACAACTGAACTATCCGAAAGAGTCAGATTAACAGGAGTTAAACTTGAGTAGTCGATTCCAAAGAATAATTGATACATTTGAACAATTATTTAGTGTCGCTCAATTCTAAATTTTCATAAAAGCTGTTTGATTGACATCGATGCATGACCATAAAATTGCTCTTAAAAAAGTTAGTCATAATACATAGATAGTATACAACTACATCTACGCGGTATTTTTCCAGAAAACTTATCCCAATTCATCTTAGCCATTATATTCCGGGGAGTGGCAATAAACGAAACATTAGGAGAAAAATGAAAGAGTATACGTAGAATTATGGTACAAAATAACACATAAAACCTAGTAAACAACTCCTTACTGTTAGATTAGTACTGATTCTGTTTCGCTTAGTGCTTGTCTAAGCGTTTAATTGAAATGCAAAATAGGAAGAAGTCAATGAGACTGGTAATCAATGTCTTAATTGGATTACTATAACTATTCTTAAAGGTACGATTTAAAACAGAGAAATAACACACAATCTTAACCTATAGGACCAAGTATGAATGCATTAAAAACAAATACAAATAAGCTTTCTGTTGTTTCAGTTTTCACCAACATGACAATTGACTTCTCCCCGTCAGATTTAGTATTTCGTTCCTCAAATTTTGTTTTCAGTTTTATACTACTGATTATTAATAAGTAGCATCGCTGTGCTTCAGTTATTTTGTCTTCATCCGTACTGATAATGGTTGTATAAAGCATTCTGTCAAACTAAATCTCATGTCCATTTAGTTGTTTTTTCATGTTCTACTATTTTCGAACTTACTACTTATGCCTATATTTATTTTATATGTTTTTTGTGGTACATCCTCAACGTTTGTTTATTTTTCTGGTATTTCTGGTATCATCTGCTTATTTTGTAAGCTTTCCTGTTTCACGTAAAAGGTAATTGGTTAGTCGATCGAACACAGTCCGAAATTGTTAAAGTGTTCCAAACATATTACGTACATCCATTATTACTTTATTTTCTTGAAGGATGGTGTTTTACTGGACTATACCACCGATAATGTGATGGGTATATGAACAATTCTTATTTTTCATATTCTATCAATCATCGTTAGCAAGTATGATGAGTGTAGTAGTGAATTCCAAAGAATACATTGAGAGCGCTAACATTCTCAATTTTTACTCAACGATCAAATGAAATTGACAATCGAATCATTTTAATCATAACACAAGATGATTATAGACCAGTATCAATGGAAGTATCTCGAAACTGTTACGTTATATGGCTTCTGAGATCACCGAGATACCCATGATATCCTTAAGATAATAGTAGCAATAGTAATACGAAAAAGATGAATGGAAAGAAGGGGGCAAAAGAAGGAAAATAGGAAGAACGAAAGACAGAAGAATGGGAAGAAGAAGGAGAAGAAGAGCATGGAGACAAAGTAAGATGGGAAGAGTACGAAGCAGAAGAATGGGGAGAAGAAGAATGAGAAGTAGAAGCGGAAGAAGAAAGAGAAGAGGATGAAGAAGGACGGTAAGAAGCAGAACAAGGAGGATGTGAAGGGGGGAAAGTGGGAAGACAAAGAAGAGGAATGGCAAGAAAGAGTCAGAAGAATGGGAAGAAGAAGAAGAGGAAGAACAAGGCAGCATTATAGCACAAATTCAATCTGCATTCAGAATAGAATTTTCAAATAGACATCTTATCTGATTTTTGAACATTACCTAACATTACACCAGATATCAAATGTAGCACATATATACAAGGGAAATAAACTAATGAACGATTGTATTTGGAAATAAGAACTTTTTAACCTGTTAAAAAATGAAGCTACAGGGACATTATTCATTCTGAACATTTACACTAGGAATTAAGTGTTTCCTATTGAACTCAGCATCCTATCACTGTATGTGAGACAGTTATGGTACCAACATGGATCTTAACTAACTGCGTAATTGACTGGTCACTGGAAGGCAACCAACTTCATGTTGTCCTAAGTGCTGAACGAATTCTATCGATCATTTTGCTATACGGTAATCAAGCTAGTTGACTTGACATCGCGATGTACTTTGATAGATGTTATTTGTATGGAGGCGTATCTGCGATCCCTGCGGAGTTGATGTTACACCTGAGATTCGAAACCACGTCACCCAGCGCTGCAGTCAGAGACGTTACGACTGAACTGTTTGGGTGGCGACTGACTGACTACAACACTGGATGATGCGAGTTCGAATCTCAGATGGGACATCAGTTCCGTAGAGATTGCAGATACACCCTGCTGACGAGTACCAACAAGCACGAAATCTAAGTCCAGGGCTTTCTGCCGATAGCCTTAATCCGACTCACGTCTTTTACTGCACACTTTTTCGAGCTAACACACCTTACATCAGCAGTTAGAACACACCAAGACGACAAAAGAAGAAACACAGAGTTAGTATTCAAAGATTGGAGAAAGTCATAATAGAGAAAGAGAAGGGGTTGAAAAACAACGAACTTTGAAATAACGATTAAGATGAA